ACACCCTGAGGATGATTTACAATTGTTGTATATTTTGCTACAACTACAAATATTTCTCTATTTTCAGTTATCACAACAAGCTGCAACAACATATGTTCAGCAAACAAAATCTAAAGTTCAGTTGTCTGTTGTAGGAAGTTGTGTAATATAAAGTATTGGCACTTGTTTCCACACAATATACATATACTAAATTAAAACAAAAAACATCAGCTAAACTAACTTCCTTTGCACACTGTGACTGTGAAATGAAAATATTAATATCTATAAAGGTATCAAAACAATCGAATATTGTATGCCAAAATATTATCATGTTTACACATCCTCTGTACTAGACTTCTTTATCTCTCTATGATGGTCTCCTCTGTCTCTTTTACTAACAGTGTGACAAAAAACTTTTACGCACAATAAAACATAATATTTTGTTAATTTTGTTTGTGTTTTCTCTAAGGTACCCTACAAATTACAAAGAATGATGAATATTTATTTACGGATTGAAAGCCTAAATTTGCACTTAGAATTACAACTAGTGAATTTGTCATAATATGTTGCCAATAAATTCACTAGTTCAAATACTCAACCAAAAAGGAAAAATGAATTCTGAAATTGGGTTTGAATTAGTTTTGTAGTAGTCAGACTGAACTACTGATCTATGGTTTATACAAATGATATTTAATTGTTGTTATGAATCACATGTTAATTTTTGTCACAATTTTTAATGCAAACAGAGATTGACTAAATTACTTACTTAAAGTGGCTGCTTGAAGCTCTACATGTGATTATCAAAGTTACGTTTTCTAAATATTTAATTATTCCTGAATTTATTTTCATAAACATCATGAGAAAATTTATCAAATGTATACTATTGATTGCAATAGCGAAATGTAGTTTCCTAGAGGTAATCAGTTAGTTGGATATGCAGTTATATAACCAGTGAAAGGTGCCGATTGCCACTTCCATAATGTAGGGCTGTTAAGCATTCGTTGTGTACACAGAAAAAAGTTTGAGCATAAATATTATGAACAGCTTTCATTGACTAAAGTTAATAGTATTTAAGAATAAGTTCCTAAATTATATGAATTTTTTCATTTTTATTTTTTTAAAAATAATCTAGAAGCCTTGACTTAAAAAATTAAAAATTTTCTTTCTATTTTTCTATTTGTTAAAAAATGTTTGAAATTTTCTTTGGAAAATTTTTTATTTCTTTATGATTTTTAGATTGAAAACAATGAAAATGCGCGTAACTTGCAGGATTGTCTGAAGAATGGATGTTTTGCTATATTGCTGATGTTTTTTTATTTCATATTTTGTTTTCCAATATTTTTATTTATTTTTCATAAAAATTCGCTAATTATTATTATTTTATTTTCTAAAAAAATGGAACATTTATATATTTATTGCAATTTTTTATGAAAATCAAAGAAAATAAGTAAAAAAAAACCAAAAAGTTCATTCATGTACAAATTCATACATTTTATGAACTTTTAATATTCCGAATGAAAATGGTTTGGGAAAAAAAAGTCATGTTCGATTCATACAATTTATTACAAAATTCATTCTAGTTATGTATTATTTTTTTCTGTGTATAATTGTTAAAATACTTATCTTCTATAACAACATTAATTTTTTTCGATTTGATGTGATATAAAATATGATGCTTTCTGGTAAAGTAGGTGTTTAGTTGTTTCCTTTTTTTCAAAGAAAATTGGTTTTGGCATTCAACATATTGTTTCATTTTTATTTACTTTACTACATGTTTACTTATGGTTTAGACTTTGTTTTCTATAATATTTCATTCTTCAGTTGTCTTCTTCACTTACATAGGCGAATGTAACTTGTAATGTTGTTTTAAATGTTTAGTTAGAGGGAGAAAATCAAATACATTCCACCTATTCTGATTCTCCTTCTTTTTATTTGACTTTTCTTTAACTCGTCATTTTTGAGTTGTGTATTTTTTTTGTTGAAAACAATTTCTTCTTTTCTGTTTAGTTTTTTATGATATTCTGCAATTTTTGTTCTACTATATTGCTTCTTCTATTATTTTTATTTATTTTTTGCAAGTTATTTGTTGTTTACTTTTTCCTATTTTTTTTTCTTCCTTTACTCCTGTTCGATATTCTTGTGATGTGTTGTTTAAATTTCCGTTATTTATTTGAAATAGTAAAACGCATTGTGTGGTTTTTATCCCACATACTTGGTATTTTTCCTCATGTTTTCTTTTCTACTTTTGTTTAGTTGTTGGTTTGTAAGCTGTAGTTTTTTTATTTTATTTCAATATTCTTTTTGATTTGTTGTGTCTTTTTCTGATTATTTTTTGCTATAACAAAACAACAAATCTCGGAAATACCTTAAGCTGCATTGATTATATGCGGTGATTTGTTAAAAGTAAAATAAACAAAATGTGAATAAATGTGTGTTCTATGTACGTGCAAATATTAGATGAAAGATAAAATATTTCGTTTTTTTAAGTCTTGATGTACATATATTCATTCTTTGTCTTCTAACATCAGGAATACATTTTTAATCCACACCAATATTTTATGAAAGATTTAAAATTTTGTGATACAACAACATTACGATAAATTTGTATGCTAAGAGTATTGTATTTAAACATATTTCCTATTAAAGAATTTGCATACGATTTAGGCAAAATTTAATAAATAAAAAGGCCTAAGGAAGTAGAATATATCATTAAGTTGTAATTTGTATTTTCTGTAATGGCAAAATTTAAGATAGATATCTAGTGGCCGAAACTAAGGCAACTGATGTTGTATTGTATTGTATATTATTAACTAAAAATAATAAGAAAAGTTTCGTTTTTTCGTTAAATATGGTTTAAATATGAAAAGAAAGAAATTCATATTTGAATTGGCAAAAAACGAAAACAACTTCTTCATAAACGCTTTTTAAATAATTTTTAACATAATAATTAATATCACATCTATTTTAATAGTAGGAGTACATCATCAGTTGATTTAGTTTCGAAAACTATTGTAAACGTAACATACGTATGTATGAAGGCGTATGAGTATTTAAAATACCCATATTAATTGCTATTAAATATAAATGATACGCCTCAACGAGTGATGGAAGCATGTATGTATTTTTTTAGTTTAATATTATAGTTCTAATTTAGTTATTAGTTAACACAAATAATAATTAAGTATTTAAATTTTAAATATTACTATTTTTGATGTTTGCTGGACTACTTTTTTATATTAAATACTTTTCCTCTTCAAATAGTGCCCTACATTTTAAAAATAATCGATTTTTTGCTAGATTTTACATTTATCATTATATTTTAAGTTCATTTTTATAAAAAAAAAGATTGATGTAAAAGCATACATTCTCAATGAAAACATATTGCAAAAAAGTCTTGTACATATGTGTATAATGTTGTTGTGTTGCTGTGGTGTTATTTGTATTATTGTTTTTTGGTGCTTTACAACTACGCACTTATCACACCCTTAGCATATATTTTTTCAGCACAACATTTTTATTGCTTTTTGTTGTTGTTTTAGTTGCCGTTGCTGTGCTTGTTCTCATTTTGACGTTGTTTGTTTTTTGTCCTTTGCAGGAAATTATAAAAAAAGAAGACTATAGTAATATGAACAACAACGTGAATGGCACAGCACAATATCATTCATCATTTGTGCCATTTTACGAGCATTTATATTGCTTACAAATCTCAGAAACATTCAAAGGCATAACAGTGGCAGCAAACAACAAATATGTGGATGAATACTAGCACAAGTACACAATTGTAAAAAGTGTCAGCTAAAGCTGCATTAAAAAAAGGTAAAAAACAGCACTAAAAAAGAAATCCATAAACAGTACATACATAAGTGACAAAAAGGCCTGTTTTTTACTCTCTACGTTTAGGGAGGGGAGTAAAACCATTATACAGTTAACTGTTGAAAAAATTTTGAAAAACAACCAAAAACAAAATGAACATGTATGCAAGCTCACGTAACGAACTTTGAAATTCTCACACATACTTACTGCATTTATAGTCAAATGTAGTAGGCATTGGCTTAATGTGTTTGTCAGTATTTACATTTATTTATAAGTGAATTAGTGTATGATGCACATTTCCTACATGTAGATACATATTTTGATGTGGCATCGCCTATATCTCATGTTGAACATGATTTCTAAATATTATAGCAATCACGAATATTTGTAGTCGTGTGTATGCCAGAGAATTTTGTTTATTTAGGGGGTTTTCGTTTTAAATAAATATACTTAGATTAAGTGCTACAGGCTGCCGAAAAATACCTCTATTCAAGGGTAAAACGCAGCTTTGTTTATAAAAATCTGTTAACAATTGACTAATTTATTGATCTTTTTCTATTTACAGAATTGTTCAATAAATATTTTTAGAAAAATAGATTATATGTGGGATAAGTTCAAGTAAAATTTTCCCGCTTAGAAAAGTTCTTAATTTCTGGGGAGTCCGAATTTTTTTATTTTCAATTTTCTTACACTAAATTTTAAACACTAACCCCCGATAACACCAACTCCGGTATTAATATCTTTGATTATAATATTTTATTAAAAACCTGGTTAGTTTTAAATCTAATTTTAGATATTTAATTAATTGAAAATTGGGAAGTTATACATATCATTGTGAATAAACTCCCCAAACTTTAGAATGAAATAAAGGTCCGAAAAATAATCTAAGTCCCTTAAGATTGCATATGTTTTACTAAATATATATAAAAATTTGGGGATGGGGTCACAATGAAATTTGGAGATAGGGTTCTATAAATGTAGAAAAACTTTAAGGTCTTGATATTTTATAAATGAGTTATTAGTTTTTAAACATATATTTTAGTAATACGTAAGTATGTATAAGTACATATTTGCATATATTTACTTTTTAAACAATAAGTAATCTGTCGAACGAAAATTTGTTCGTCACTCAAAAAGTTGATTTTGGTTTTGATTTTTTTTTGATTTGGTATTTCTAAATTAGTTTGATATATATTTTTTTCACTTACAGATTAAAATGTACATCTGCCATATTTGGCCTATATTTGATGGCTTCTAACAAAACTTCCTCAGCTTCCTTGTAACGAGCCTGAGAACTAAGGACACTTCCTAAATTGCCAAGAGCTATAAAGATAAAATAATTAAATGTTTTGATATTAAAATTTAATCAAATAATAAATCATTTTACATAATTAATTTTTTTATAAAAAACAACTGATTTTTCATCCAAAATCTTAAAAAAATTGTCGCTAAAATTCTTTTATTTCAATTTATTACTATATTAAATTTGTTAAAAAAATATTTTTGTTTAAAAAAAAATGTGTTTTCTTCAAAACAAATAATTAAATAAAATTCACTTACCTTTAGGTGGATTTATTTGCACAGCACTACGATATAAACTCTCCTCTTCTCGCCAATCCAAGTTGCGTTTTATCGTCCTCGCACTCAGAGCGCTCAACACCAGACACAAACTCAGTATCAGCATTTGTTGATGTCGGGGATTTTTACTCGTTCGCACATGATCTATTAATTTGCCGAAGCCAAAGCCCACTAATAGACAAAAACCAATACTGGGCAAATATAACAGGCGTTCTGCCACTACAAACCCTACATAGAAGACAAGATTTGTGGCGGGAAGAAAGGGTAGCGTTAAAAAAGCCAGTGCCATCAACAAGACACTGGCATTTGCACATTTGTGTGGTATATCACTCAACATGAAATCCTCTTGCTGTATCGATGACCACGTTGCCAAGCAAAGATTTCTATGTGACGCTGATGACTTCGAGGATAGTGAATGATCCTGAACTGCATGTAGATGAAGCACTACTATCGGAGCTTTTGTTACTGGCTGTTGTTGAATTGCTGCAACTACTACTGCTGCGGGAACTACGTGCCGTAACCACTGAGGCTATAGCCTTGTGCAGAGCAAAGGTAAAGAGTTGTGGTGGCGGACCGTTGGACGACGCGACACTGGAAGACATTAGCTGATGGCAACAGCAGCCTGTGTGATAAACATTTGAGTGGCTCAGTGTTAAAACATTATTGTTGTTGTTCAACACCCGACATGAATTTGTATGATGACCGGAACTCAATTCCTGTTTGCAATCACCACAGATGTGGCGATTATTTATGCCCAATAGTTTGTGCTTGAGATATGCTGTGGTGCTGTGAAGCGAAGAACAATTTGTTGTTAGTATTGGCGTGCTAGTTGAATAGTGTTGTGTGGGGGGTGATGGTGGTGGAGTCATCATGTAGTAGGCTTGTGTTTGGTTGTCACTTGTTACTGTTGTTCCATTTGAGGTTTGACACTGTACCTGTTTGCAATATTTTCGTTTAGTGCGTGACTTACGCTGCAATTGTGGTTGTAAATGGTATTGTGCCCCCGATGCACCATATGAAGAGCACCCCTGCTGTCTGGTTTTATAGTGTGCGGAGTAATGCAGACGCATATGCCGTTGCAGCAGTAGACGGACAACATTGCCAGGCCGTGTAGGTTAATGCACCATAGAAGCCCATACTCAACATGTTGCGTCCATCCCATATGGAGTTTATTCGTGGTATGGCATTCATACCCCAATCAAAACTAAGCACTTGTGGATTCAGCAATAGTTTGAAATTGAATACCGGAAGATAAAGAAATGTCAAGAAACGTGTCCACACGGAGTTGGTTTTTGCTATGGGATTGTCTGCAGCTGAGAATAATGTTTGGGGTCGAGGTATCACTGCCAGACGACAATACACAGTGCCAAGCAGAACTGAAGTTAATACACATACCGACCGTACGCGGTGCTTGTCTTTTAGGCCGCTTAAGCCACGTATCACATCAAACATTCCGCATATTATTAAAGCGGTGATGGCTGTTTCTTTGAACAGCAATGCAGCTATAGAGGAAACTAAAGTTAAACTTAAAGCCAGCCACTGCAGTGGATCGCCTCTCTCTCGCCACGCAATGTGACGCATATAAGTGAGAAAGGTTAGTAGATAACAGACACAGGCGGCCAAATCAGCTCTGCCTACAATTCCTGCCACAGCTTCTGTATGAATGGGGTGTGCAGCGAAGAGTGCTCCCGTCGCTACAACACCCCACACTGAGGAGAGAAAGTGTCGAGCCACCTTCACTACCAAGCCCGTGGCTAAACAGTGGAGTAAATTGTTGACCAGATGGAAGCCCCAAGGATTATAACCACTGAGTATAAAATTTAATCTGAAGGTGAGAACTGTCAGCGGTCGATAAGAACCGTGAGAGCCACTGTCAGTTAGCGGTGTGCCCCAGTAGTCGTGTAGAAAGGCACTCTGCCAGGACGCAGTTCCTGAGACATCTGTGTTGGCTAAAATAGCACGTCTGAAAAATGCGAAAAGAAAATATGTTATAAGTATGTTTACAGAATACAGATTGATTTTAAAAATTTATGTTATGGAACTTAACTTTAAAGACATTTTAGAGCAATAAAATTTTGTCAACTTTTAAGTTAATTAAAACATATGCTGTAAATCCAGTTGTTTAATCTTAATACAATTTTTTATTTAATTTTGTTTGATATTAAAAATTCAAGTTCAATGGAAATATTTCCCATCCGTTAAACTAAATCAATAACCTTTGTGTAGCTTTGTACATTTATCCCCATCTCTCTACGCATATTTCAATATTTATGTCCCTTTTGCTATTTTTTTGTTTTGTTGGTTTTTTATTATTAAACTTAATACGTATTGCCATAAATTATAATTATGACATACACTTCCATTCAATATTTCAAAATTAATAAGGCATAAAGTTACCAATTTAAAGAAAAAATAAAATAAAATGTAACGTACCAACTACAAGAAAAGAATTTCCGGTTTCAATAAACTGCACAATACCGACTTATTGAAAATAATTTTGATAGGGTATACTGTTTGGAGGTGTTTGTCAAGAGAAAAGATTATTCCATGTGAAATTTGGTTAATATTTACTTTTTGTAAAATCACTCTTTAATGAGAGAACCACATAACGAACTACTTAATATACATACATATGTATGTATATATGTATATTATATACATATATAAACATACATACATAACTGTAAAAATTTTAAAAGTTTCTAACAGTGTTTTCAATAGAGCGGCAATATAACGGAACGTACATCGATTCTAACGGAACTGAAAAGCATTTAATTAGTAACATGAGCTTTAAGGTAAACGACTCAACAGCTTTTCCTATTCCTTTTCGAGTACAAGAATATTGTACACAGATTTTGTATTTGTGAGTACAACTAGCGCCAGGTGGTAGTGGTGGTGGACATGAGTGCAATAGTAACAAAAGTCCTAAATTTGTTACGCAATAAGGAATAAATGTTCTTAAACGGATGCCCTTTCTGCTCTATATATACACTCACTATACAACAGAAAACATAAATTCGAAACATTCAAATTGTTATTGCTTGACGGAGCTTCCCTTGAAATTCTATAGATACAAAGTGCTGCTGTTAGTGATATAGATGTAGTATTTGTGTTCTGTAATACAAGTGGAAGTTCTAGACACGCAAAATGTATGAAACTTTATAACAAATCGACAATTAATCAACTAAAGTAAACTGTTGCAATACAAGAGATACAAACAAGTATCATGGGGAGAAAGATACTTGTGTCTGTTTTAGGAAATAAAACAAAAGACATGAACAGAGGAGAAGGGCAGTGTAAAGCTACCTTATTAAACTTGTTACAAGACGATGTTATTTGGCCAAGTTTTCAAAATGACTTTCTTAACTAATTTGATACAGGTTAATGCTACACATACCTATGTATATACATACCTATAATGTGTATGTGTATACATATACGAAATACGCATTCACTACTAAATACAATCCAATACATTTACAAATTTCTCTATATACATAGACAATTTTATTGTCTAGGTATCCCATAAGAATAGAGAAATTTATGGCTTTTATGTCTGTGCAATGTATTTGTATGTCTTTTTGTGGGTATAGTATTTCACACTGTTAGTAATTGTACATTAGAGTATGTATATATGTATATTTATTTATAACTGTCAGGTGCCACGGAAGTTTAGAGTTTCGTTTGGCAATTAATGTGCTTATTTCTGTCGCTTCTAGTTAACAAACGTCATCAAAAGGAAATTAAATTGGTCTCTAGACACCATCATCCTTAGCTGGCGTAAATTTTATATAAAACTCAGACAAACACAGACACTTTAATATATATATGTAACAAGCCAAACTGGCGTCTAAACATTTTAATTAATCTTAAATGTTGTCATTTGTTTGAGTCATAATTTTGTTTGCCCGGTTAGGAAAAAAATAATAGAAACTATAAATGTACTAGCTGGCATTCGCTGTTCTGTGAAGAGCTATTTAAGGTCATCAACAGGTTTTAGGGCGGCATTTTGAAGGAATTATTTTTCTTAAAGTCATTTTAAGCGTATTCAGCATATAAGTGAATCAGGCTTATTTGTAAAATGGTTATAAATTTAACAATAATGTTGTATTAACAATAGGAGTATAACCAAAAGTAGGAGTGCCTATCAGAGTAGTATTTTAATACCAAAATCATTTCACTGGTGTCAGTTTGGAACAATACAAAACAGGCTAATTTTTATGAAAAATTATATACTTTTTGTAAATACATACGTTTTATCCCCTAATTCATAAACAAAATATTATTTTATGAAAGATCTAAAAAAGAAATGTCCATACAAAATTTGATTTATAAACCGTTTATAAAATAAAAAATTGTTTATGAATAAGGCCTTTAGGCTCTTAGTCGAATGGATATGACCGATATTGCAAATATAAGAAACAAAGAAAACGGCCTTAAATTGTTTATAAGCTAACCTAATTATGATCTGTCAATATTTACTAAATGCTTGTAATTACTGGTAATATTAAATTTTAAATTTTCTTTCTGTACTACATATATATGTACATTAATATTAAAAAATGGGAGAAGCTATTCAGTCATTACATTAAAAATTCTATACGAAAATATTTCTCTACTTCTGCCAAATTCATATTTCCTCAAACTGGCATAAGACGTAAATTATTTCTCTTCAATTTCCACTAGTATTGTTTTTGTTGCTGTCACCGGTATTGCTCATTTTGCTTTTTCTGGTTACTGGCTAAAAATATGTAATCTACTTATTTAACTTTTTAAGGTAAAAGTATTTCATGTAAAAGCTTTAGCTCATTATATGGCATTAATAATGATTATAATAAACATTTTGCAATGATAATTAATACTGTAATAATCATCCTCATAATAATGCTACTTGGCTTGTTATAGTTTATGCTGATATATGTACATATATTAAGGTGTCCCGTGGACTATTTTTTTCTTTTGTAGGAATACTTCTCAAACGTATTAATGTACTAAATACGAGAAAAATTGAAAATCTTATCGCTGGAAAATAAATTTAACTTTTTAATTATTTTTATTAGAGTATATCTGGTACGACATTTAGTGCATTGTAAAGGGAATATAAATTCCTAAATAATAACAAGTAAGAAGGTATAGTCGGGCGTGACCGACCATATGATACCCTACACCAGTTATGAATATTAAATGTGATTTATTTTTCATAATAAAGCATTTATCTTCAATATTCCCTTGTTCCGATACATTTAAGCAATTTATGGAGGCTAGGGGCAAATATGAACCAAGCCCTATAAAATTTTGTGAATATATTTATATTTACATAATATTTTTTTGTGCTGAATTTCATCGCGATATTTTTGTTTATAAGTTAATTTGGGATATTCAAGTAATTTTCTGAAGGGACTTTGTATGGGAGCTAGGGTCAAATGGGGCCCTCACAAAGTTTACATGGACAGCCAGACGGACGGAAAATTCTAAGCCGATTGGTATACTTTAAGGTGGGTCTACGACGAAATATTTGTATGTTACAAACATCAGCACAAATCCAATATACCCTCCCCACTAAAGTGGTGTAGGGTAAAAAAAATACGAAATGGACCAAACTTTAAAAATTCTGAAGTGGACCAAATCAATTTCTGGACCGAAAATACTCTAAAAAATATTTTTTCTTGTAATCAACTCAAAGTACATAGGTATATTTGGGGCCCATTTTAAAAAGTTGAAGATGTTTTTTATCACTTATTATACTTAGGATTTTCAATCGCTGTTAGGAAACTGATGACCGTTCCAAAAAAAAAAAATTATGTGTTCAGTACAATAATATGCATCGATTGAGAGATATTCATTAGATTCATAAAAAGGCGTTCGTCTGGACATTCTAAAATATGTATACATATCGCACACCCAGTACAAAAGTGTTCAACTCAAAATTTAATATTATGGTCTGTGTATTGAAGATGCGTTATCATTATTAACATTGCCAACTATAATAGAAAGTTTAAGGTGTATCCACTAAAGCGTAAGAGCAACACCATTTACCATTAAAATGTTCTTTCTTTGTGAAACCATGCGAATATTAAAACGAAATAAAATAACATTATTTAGAATCTATGAATTTGTCGCCTATACAACAAAAAATGCTATTTAATAAAATGTTGCAAAACCGGCATTCAAATGCTTTTCATTCTTATAGTTATACAATAATATAAGGACGAAATCATATACAAGTGCATATGTACATACTATACGTATAATCACAAATACCAATACAAACACTTAATATTAAATAAACCTGCAAAATATTGCCTGATAGAGGGGTACTTATCAATATACATACCTATACATACATATGTAAGTGTATACATAAGTAAATGTTTTCTTCATATGTGTGTGTTTATTTGAGAGAATATGCGTGCGTGATATTACATTAGAAAGAGTGACAAATTTAGCTTTTTACTTCACTACTTTTGCCACCTTAAAAGCCTTTCTCTCATTCAAACACATGTATACATACATACTCCTTAGTGTATGATGATTTCCATTTACTTAGAGATAGGTGGGGGATATAGAGGCTAGATTTTATATTGAATAAGTATCACATATTTACAGTGGCTTTAACAAATAACACCAATATGATGTTAATAATGTTGTCTATGATAATCACAGTGTTGGTGATGATGATGATGACGTTTACGATGAAGATGAGGATTAAGGCAACCTCATAACCATTACTTCCGCCATCACTTGAAGCTCTAGGGAATATTCGATTTTGGTTGAATATTTGTTTATTTTCTCACACATACAGTCTGTCATTCCGTGTATTTCGCTGATACTCTCTCTCTCTCTCTTTCTGTTATGAAATCAATACACGTACAAATATCATGCATACATTTACACAAAACGTAGTCTGAATATACATTCCCATGGAGTGTCCCGGAGGCCATGTGAAAATACAAAAAAATACCAAGAAAGAATGTAGTTGAATTTACTCTAAGTACAATGAATGTAAATATTCCTAGAGTAACAATAATAATGATGATGGCAACGCTGGCAACATCAGCGGCGGCGGTAACAGCAATAAAAACAACAACTGTTTCGTTTGTTTGTATATAAAATAAAATTGTATAAATTTGTTTGCGATTTAAACGTGAGTGTTGGCAAATTTGTGTATCTGTGAGTATTTGTGCGGCAGTTGGTGTATTTACACAAACACGAGGAAGACGGAAAAGGGCCTTAAATAATTATTATTATTTAAAATTTAATCGCTGCAGAAGGAGCGTAAACATTGGGTCCAGATTGATAAACAACATTACATTTTATAAAAGGTTTATAAAAATATCGATAATTGGATGAATTTAATGATTGTAAATTATTTTAGTAATTTAAGTTAAATATTTCAATTAGTTTTTTAAAAGAAAAACATTTTTGGGGAGATAGAAAAACACTCTGAAAAGGCAAATTTACTCACGAGTATCTATATTTTCAAGTTTCAGCTTTATCAATTTTGGGATTTTTTTTAAACTTTAATCATTACTTTTGCTTATAATAAATTGTATGCACGTTTTCGAACTGGTTTACTTTAATCGATTTTCAAAGTACTTTTTTGATTACTGTCGTAAATACACTCATACAATCATAAAATTAAATGAAGTGTAGTATAGTTTGTTTCGCTGATTTCAATTTTCTGCGTTTGAAGGCACAAATTCCGAAACGTTCACTAACTGTAGTTGGTGAATAATGTTGTATAGAATTAAAAAGACGAGCTTTCCTCAATACACAGCAAAACAGAAAAGGAACAACAAAGTAATGAAAATTTTATATAAACAGAATATAAAAAGTACGTGTAGGCTGGTTGTTTGACTCACAGACTGACTGACTGGATGGCTGGCCTCCTTTCAATTTATATTAAAAATAAGTTTTAAGGCTTTTTTATATACAAAAGAACAAAAAATCATAAAAAAAGTTGGAAAATGAAGTGTAGAAAGAAAAAATATAAGTAACTAAACATTATGTGAGGTATAGAAAGCAGAGCAGCAGAAAAAAATGGGACCATTACGTTAAACACTTTCGGTTTTACTTAAACGCCTCTTTTACCACCATAAACTGTTTCCACTTGTCTTGTGTCTACCACCTCCCTGGTTGCAATAAACTGAATGGAAATTTGTGTTCATATTATGGCACCTTCCTTCAACTTGTTGTTTTCGCTCCCCTCTGTACTCCTTTAGTTGGAAAATGAGGAAATTTATACGTTTAAAGATAATAGTAAACATGTAAACATGTTTATAGACATTTTCTGTCTTTTCTTTTTTAGCAAACAATTTACTTAAAGGTGGAACTTTTATTTAATTTTGTTGCTTTTTTCTTTTTGTTTTTAATAAAATGAAAATTTCAATAAACGTTTGTGAACTTTAAGAACTTTAAATTCACCTTTGAAAATACTAAATCTTTTGTTGTGAGCAGAATATCTGATAGTATTTGTTTAAAAGTAATATTAAATAAGATTTTGTTTAAATAAAATTTAGGAGATTGAAATGAAGTGTTTTATCAAGGAAATGCAAGAATATCGAATATCATTACTATTTTTTATAATATTGCTAAACATTTTTTTATTTTGTTATGAGCCAAATTATTATTTTCAAATTAAAATGCATATATTTTATTGGATTAAAAAGTATATTATTTTAGGAAATATTTTAAGTATTTTGCTTAATTCATATTCTATTTCTACAGTTTTCATTCTAAAAGTTTTATAAATTTATTATACCCTCCACCACAATCAGTGGTGATATATACCCTCTATATAAGTTTGTCATTCCGTGTGTAACACCAAGAAATATTCATCTGAGACCCAACAAAGTATATATTTCGGGACCTTATCAAATTCTGAGTCGATTTAGCTATGTCCGTCTGTCTGCCTAAAACACGCTCACTGTTAAAACTAAGCAAAAAAAATAAACCAAATTCACCGAAAATATTCATTATTATCCTAAGTAGTTTTGGTATTGAAAATCAGCAAAATCGGTTCACAATATTAATAGTTATGAGTAAAAATTTCAGACTACCTCGAAAAAATTACGTGTTTTTTCTTAATTCTTAAGTCGTTTTCTCATAAACTAGAAAAGACAATTCGATGAATTTTGTCACACATTATTTTTTTTTTACCCAGGGATCAGTTGTGTTGAAAATTAAAATAATCGATCGAAAATTTCCCATAGCCCCCATACAAAGGTATATATTCCCGGAAATTAGTTTAGCGTTAACAACTCCCTCAAATATATCGGTATCAACACAAAATTTTGTACATGCAAATGTAATATCAACAGAAATCATACTATCAACGTAGATCTCAGTCGTTCCACAATTGGTCATAGCTCCAATATAAGGACCACTTCCGAAAATCACCTAAACGCAAATATTTTATTGATGAATGAAGCTATTGTGATAAAATTCGACTTGAATATGGTTTGTGTACATACAAATTATTCTACAAAATTTTTTATGGATCGGTCTATTATTAGTCATGGCTCCCATATAGGGCCCACTTCCGAAAATCATTTAAACGCATATATTTCATTAAATTCTAAAACTATAAGGATAAAATTCGACTTGAATATATTTTGTGTACATATAAATCATTCTACCACTTTTTCCCCGGATCGGTCCATTATTGGTCATAGCTCCCATATAATTCCCACTTCCAAAAATCACTTAAACGCCCATATTTCATTGTCAAATAAAGTTATCTTGATAAAATTCGACACAGATATGTTTTGTCTTTATATGAATCACTCTACGAAATTTTTCCCGGATAGGCTCCCATAGAGGGTCCACTTACGAAAATCACTTAATCGCATATATTTCTTTGAATAATAATGCTATCGGGATAAAGTACGACTTGAATTTGTTTTGTGGGCATATAAATCATTCTACCAAATTTTTTCAGGATTGATCCTTATATGGTAATAGCTCCTATGTAAGGTCCACTTCAATAAATCACTTTAAGGCACATATTTCATTATCAAATAAAGATATCTTGATAAAAATCGACAAAAATATGTTTTGTGTAAGATCATAGATCATATACATATAAAGTCCAAATAACTGGCCAATTAATATACATTTTTCTGGGCCTAATTAAAATTAGTTTCACATATACATAAATGTTAGTACCCTCAATACGGAAACAAAAATTTTCCTAAGTTATCTAAAAATTTGATATGTAGTTAAATGGGTTTTAATAAAAAGTAGCTTGCTGGTGGAGGGTATTTAAGATTCGGCAAAGCCGAATATAGCACTAATTGTATTTTTTTCTATAAAAGTTGACTTCCAAAGAATTTTCCCATCATGCTGCTCATTTTTTTGCCACCAACAAATTATATTTTTAAAGCTTTAATAAGTTGCAATATTTTGCAAAACTTTTCGACTTAAAAAGTGTTGCTGAACGTAAAAAAGTTTTTTGTTCTACTTAATTTTTTTCATGTTTCTTTTATTTTGTGCCATAAAATTGTTTCTAATTTAACAATAAGTTATTTTTAATGAAACTTAAAGACATATTATACATGTTGTAGTATTTTGTTACAAATGCCTTATAACGAATCGTTTTAATACAATGTTAAAAAATACATTTATAAAACTTTGGCCATAAACTTGATTTTGTTTTGTACCAAAAATAATCATAATAATGGCAAAACATTTGGACACCCTACAGATTGTTGTACAAATGGTCATTTGAGGGAAAAAATCAAAATAATATAAAAAGTTACAAATTTATGTTGTCATTTTTAAATCATTTTTAGAACAATGACCGATATTGTTTTTGTTGTTTAATGGAACGACTATAGAAAGTTTCATCCTCCAACATCTGTTTGTAATCTGAAACAATGTTAAACATTCTGTGGGTTTTTGCAGTTGTAACTGGTAGTTTTTGACTTGTCTTACCTTAATAATATGAAATCGAGAGATAAGTTAAATTTCATTTGGCAAAACTTTTGCCAACAATTTACTAGAGAACCTAAACTTTAAGACAATCCACACGAATAAAGCTACATACATACATATGTATATACTTGTATAATTCTATAAAATAGAAAGTGTGTGTATATGAGGGCATGTATTTGTTTTTATTTATGTTGAATATTAGGTACACGTAGTCCAGGTCTATAGTATATAGTATATGTAAAATAAATAATGTTTTTAGAGAAATCTTTAAAAAATAATTTTTCTTTCAAAATTACACAATTTTTAAGACTTTTTTGGGTTTCAAGTTTGAAATGTGCACTAGTTTACTGGCACTAGTAAAATGAGAGAAGCGTCTGATTCTTGACTTCATACTTTTTACATCAGTCACTGTATATTACAGATTTGCTCTTGTTTCAGAAATTTTTGTTTAATTTTTTGTTCTTCTATCGTTTGTTGTTGTTTAGATTTATGTTTTTTGGGTTTTATATGTATATACCAAGGACAACATCAAAAAAATAACTACAACAGCCATAAACAATATTATTTTAATAACAAGGATAAATCACTTTTTAATTTTCATTCGTTTTTTGTTTGTTTTTATTTTTCTTTTCAAGAACTCAGAAATATTGCCTTCAATTTTACACAAGTACTTGATTATTTGTATCTCTTATTTTTGTTTTATATTTTATATAAAATTGTTTTTATTTTACAGAAACAAATTTTACAACATACCTGTCATCATAAACAAATCCAGAATTTAATGTATTTAAATACAAAATAAATGCCAAAGCACAACAGCCCAAGCTAGTAAAGTCCATCATGCTAAAAATTAAAAAAAAATACAATTAATATATTAAATTTAATATAATATTTAAAATTTTTATAATATTGGTTATTTTACAATAAAAATTGATAATAGAATATTTCTAATTATACATAGGTGGTGGATATTTGAATTTTTGTTGTGGCATATTTATCATAATTTAAACACTATCGTTGTATTTTTCAATGCGATAAGGGTATATAAAGTTTAAAAGCAACCAGTTTACATTCAGCCAGCAATTCATTCAAATTCAGTCATCATCAGGTTTTAAAGGTTAGTTAGTATTTGCTCCTACACACAGAGTTTCTTTATAGAAACCACCCCCTTGTCAATTACAAATGTTGACAGTTTACTAATTAAACCAATTAGCTTATTTTAAATCTCGTTAAATATTTATAAAAAATTGTTAAATTAAAAAGCATTTTACCCCCTTATACAATCCTTCGGAAATTTTTTTAAAAATAAAACGCCCACAAAAAAGTTTAAATAAGTTTGTTTAAGAACATGAACTAAAAGTAACTAAAAAAGAAACAACAATATTTTTAATAAAAACAATAACATTATTATTAAGAACTGAAGAATTTTTCAAACATGATTTGAAATATTTGGCAATATTTTTAATGGTACAGAAATAAAACTTTGTCTAGAAAAAAATATTAAAATTTTTGCTTTGATTCTACAAATAAAAACAGAAATGAATTTCAAAAGAAATGTATAATTTTTCTAGTGACGGAAAATTTATCTAAAATATGTACAGAGGCAGGTTCATATACATATTTGATGAAGGGTAAGTATGTTTAAAGAAGCTAATAATCAAAACAAGAATTTCAGATGAATATACTATTTATCCTTATAATTTTTGTTTACAAAAATATACAAAATACAAAATATGTATTGCTTTCAGCGTAGCAGAAAATGAATTTTTGTTATTTTTGTAATATTTAAAGCATTTTCTTGTACAACAAATAATATAAAAAAACTATGTAGGGAAAAATTACACAAGCAAAATATTTGTAATTTTTATACCCTACACCACTATAGTAGGGAGGGTATAATCCGTTCGGGCTCATGTTTATAACACCCAACAATCGGCTCAGAATCGCTTTCTGAGACGATTTAGCTATGCCCACCTGTGTGTCCATGTAAAGCTTGTGCTAACGCTACAGGTCGCAATCAAGATAATTTGATAAAATTTGACACTTACCCTTGTGAAGGTCAAAATTCACTTATAAACCCTAATATCACGATGATATTTAAAGGTTTATGTCCATATTAACCCCCTGTCCCCATATGACAACTCTTTAGAAAAATTCGTTTTATGCCAACAGATTGTTAAATTATTTCTGAATTAAGGTAAAAATCAAAATTAGTGCTTTATTTAAAACAAATAGTCCACATTTTTAACATAATCATTGGTGTAGGGTATCATATGGTCGGCCATGCTCGACTGTGCATTCTTACATGTTGTTAATGTTGTTGTTGTGCACACGAGTAACTTCATGCAGAATTTCATTCTTTTCCGACTGGCCGTATTTGATTAAATTCATTCTAATGGATAGTTGAGGTGAAAATATTACTTTTAAACAGTTATCGGTGGGTTTAAATTATTTCAGAATCAGGTCCGATAAATAGCATACATATATTTTTTGCATTAAAATCGAATAGCCCAAAAATTAACAGAATAAAGAAAAATTTATTTAAAATGCTAGGCAAAGAAGAAAAATTAGTTTTGTTTTATATTAAACTGAAAATTAAAGATGTACGAATGATTTTACTGTTTACTGTACTCTTGTTGAGTGATGATGCCAAGGATTTATAAGTTTGATGATATTACAGAAGCAAAGAAAAAAGAAAGTAGTAATATAGTTGCATATTTCGCTGTATCTTATTTTCCTCTGCATATGCTATTTTGAATTTGGAAAAACTTATCAAAGTTTGACTGCTTCTTACTCATGCTCCTTTTAAAAGAGTAAAATATTTTTTTACGCCTCAAATCTATTCAAGCATTCTTTCTCAAGCTTCTCAAAACTTTAACTACATTATTTGATTTCTCTTCCTTTTCTCTTCTAGTGTTTTACTTCAAACTCAAATAATTTTTACTTGGTTGCTGTTTGTTTATTGCTGTATTTTAAATTTTGGAAATCATAAACATTTTTGCTGTTACATAGTTGTTAGTAAATATTAGTAAAATTCTTTATTATACCCTACACCACTTTAGTGGGGAGGGTATAGTGGATTTGTGCTGATATTTGTAACGCATGGAATTAATGCTCCTAAACCCACCTTTAAGTATACCAATCGGCTCAGAATCAGTTTCTCAGTCGATTAAGCCATGTCCGTCCGTCTGTCTTGTCTTGTAATAAAACTTCAGGTCGCACATACATTACTTTTGACCCAAGGACGAACCCTATATCATTTCACCTAGATCCCATATAACCGGACCCCTCTAAATTGGGATTTGGAGCTCATAATTATGTCAAATATACTAATATTCCTACAAAAATAGGCACAACTACGTTTTATACAAGCAATAATGATACTTCAAAATTTCGTAATAAGCGGCCCTTATTAAATCCTAGCCCCCTTCCTAAGTCCCCCTCTGAAATTCCCCTATAAACACCTGTATTTCAATGAAATTCGGTATAATTAACTTGAATGTCAACAAAAATCCCTCCACTAAATTTTATTAGGATCGGTTCATAATTGAACCTAGTTCCCATATATAGCCTCCATCAGAAAAATTATTTTTTCATCAAAAATTAATCGAAATTAAGGAAAGATTCAACATTAATGCATCATTATTAAAAATAATACACATTTAGATATACTCATAACTGGTGTAAGGTGTCATATGGTCGGCCACTCCCGACTATACTTTTTTACTTGTTTTTATTTTTTTCCAATCTGCAATTTAAACTTTTAATATATTTTGCGTTCATTGCGTATATAGACATCTATCCCTCGGGTTTTATATGATATTTTATATTATTAAAAGTATTAAATTAGGACCAAAATAATAAAATTGTCGAACAAAACTGGAAAGTTGAATGAGCTTTCTATATATATTTTTTAAAGTATTAAGGTTAGAAATTTAAATTACTGCTTAGATTGTGTATTCATCATGTCTTATATTTTTCCTATAAATTTAAAATATATGATAAACATTTTTTAAAAATATGTCAATGTTAAAGTTATATTTTTCATATTTTTTTTAATAGTGTGAAAATTACATAAATGCCATTTACATCCAATCAAAAACACATTGGTTTTTCAAAAACAAAATTTTAAAACCAATGTGTTTATACTTACCTTAATATGCACTTTTAGCCACTTCATAAATATTTTTTAGATATATTATTACCCCCTTATTCACAAACTATATTTTTATTTTATAAAAGGTTTATAAAACAAAATTTCCATACAAAATCTAATTTATAAACTGTTTATAAAATAAAAATTTTGTTTGTGAATAAGGGGGTTAAACAATAAATATTTTAATAAATAAGATTTGAATTTTTTTAAAAAATTGTTGTTTTTCAATTTAACATTTTCTTTTATTTAACTGAGCCAAAAACAATTAGTTTTTCGTTGGTATAAATGGCATATTAGAATCAAAAATTGTTTTATTCGTTATTTTTTCTTTCATTTTTTAAAACTTTTTACATATATAAAAAAAAGTTTGATACATATGTATGTATGTATATTTAAGCATATAATTTGATGTATATGAATGTGTATGTTTGTCAGCGTTCACATATGCAATGTCATTTAATAAATGATGTCATTAATGTTGTTTATATGACATTTTTATTGTTGTTAGTGTTTATTTTTTTATTTTTAGTTGTCATTAAGTTTTTTTGTTGTTGCCATAACACATGATGATATCATCATCATATAATATTGGTTGTCATATATTTGTTTTTATTTTTACATAGTTTCCTCTTTGTTCTTATTAATACTATTTTATAAAGTTCTATGTTGTAGGTTTTGTACATTTTCTATAACAGTCATTGTATGACTTTGGATTCATTATAATTTCTTTTTTAGATATTTTGGTATCAATTGTTGTTGTGTTGGATAAAAAGAAGTCTGTCTATCATCCTGTATATGAATGCCTGGCTAGTTGTACATAGTGGTAACTAAAATTGTCTGCTGCTCATTAATTTTGTCATTATCACAAAAATACATAGAGCCATGCACTAACACACATACATACATACAAAGTATGTATACATACAAACATCCTGTGTATCTTTTTTAACTGGAAACGTAAATAGTATTCACTTACACACACTGAATGCAACTAAAATGAACTAATAGCAAAACGTAGCAAGTGTCCATGTGTCTATCTTTTACAAACATTTTACTCATTGTCCTCTATTTTGAAGTAGTGGTAGTTTTATAACACACATTCCCCTTTCCATATTCAACTGTAGAGCGGATGCTTTTGTCTGATATTCACTGCTTTTAGTTGGATGGTGTTATACCGTTTTTGTTGCTCTATAATATTCCATTCTTTCGGTAGAGGTATTGTTAAAATTGAGAAGAAAAAAGAAAAATAATTTTATGCCAAGTCAGGTCATTTGGTTGCTTCCAATGTGAATGGCTCAACACAATCCTTGTTTGGTCATGTTCTAATCATTGTTTGGTAAACTCAACCAATTCTACTACTACTGCTGCAAATGGTGACTGCCTCTGTCTCTGACTTGGTCTGGGATTATAATAGCCTGGCTAACAATTCAGTGAAAGTAGCATCATCATCTCCAAATGCAGTAGTAAGAGTAGCAGTGGAATGAGAAGTTCATTTAATTTTTATCAAAGATTTTGATTTTATTTACCATGTGCATATGTATGTATGTAGATGTCTGCCTGCATGTTTTTCAGTAGTATATACATATATATATACATATAGAACATTGTATGCTTATAAAGGATTTTTTTAATATTAAATGTGTATATATGAACTTTATATTTTGTGGAGTTAATTTCCATGGTAAAC